ATAAAATATGTCCATATATATATATATATATATATATATATATATAAAACATTTTGTGTGTGTGTGTGTGTGTGTGTGTGTGTGTGTAATGTACAATACAAAAAAATTTTCACTTTTCACATTTCCATTCTAAAGAAAAAGTTACATGATCGATACCCTGATCTCCATCACTTTACACACACTGAGTGCAAAAAGTATTCGTATAGAAAGAAAATGTTTTTAAATAAAATTTTATTTTTAAAAAATAAATATTATCCAGCAAGAAATGAATCATCGAATTGATATCGATACAATGATTTCAACATAAGATGCATTCGGAGAGACGCTATTAGCGCTATTTGTGTCCTTCTATCTTTATTTTACGTCTAATACGTAAAAACAACGAAAATGAAATGATAGAAGTAGCATTAATAGCATCTCCCCGTACGCACTATAACTTAACGTCAATTCGACGTTTAATTGATGGATTCTTTCTTGGATAATTAATAATTTATTCATAAAGAATAAAATAGACTGTGTTTCTTAAAATTATATTGAGTTGGCAAGAAAGTAATTGCGTTTTTTTAAAAGAAAGCTACAACCAATTTTTTTGTATAACGAAATAACTTTATTCAATATATTGTCCATTATTATCAATGATCTTTTGCCATTTTTCTGGCAGCTTTATAATCCCTTGTTCATAAAATTTCTGATCCTTATCGACAAAAAAACTTAACTAAGTGCGATTTGACATCATCGTCATTGGTGAAAGTTATTCCATTCAAAGAGTTTTGCAATGATCGAAATAAATGATAGTACGAGGGTGCAAGATCAGGTGAGTATGGTGGACACATGTGGCAAAACATCCCAACCACGCTCCAATAATTTTTGCCGCGTGGCCGAAGATGTGTATGATCTTGCATTGTCATAATGAAAGACGATTCCTTTGCGATTCGCTAATTCTGGCCATTTTTCTTTGATTGCTTCCTCCAGTTTCATTAGTTGTTGGCAGTAAACATCTGAATTAAGCGTTTGATTCCTTGGAAACAACTCAAAATACTTTCGAAATCCCAAATTGACAGCATTATCTTTTTCTAATCAGTTTGGCTTTCGATGAAGTTTGTGCTGGTTCATTAGGTTTGGACCATGATCGTTTTCGATTGATGTTATTATAGACGATCCATTTTTTATCACCCATAATAATTCGTTTCAAGAAAGGATCGATTTTATTGCGATTTGAGATACAACAATGTTGATTCATTGTACTAAATGAATTTTTTTCAATTCATGAGAACCCCCCCCCCCCAAATATCGAGTTTTTTCGAGCTATTGAATGACTCCAAAACATTTCAAGTGATTTTCAATTATTGTGTGTGATACATTTAATCTCTGCTATTTCCCGCACACTTATACGATTCGATTTAATTGTGGCTTTGATTCAGTCATCAACATCAGTAGGTCGACCAGAACGTTGATTATCTTTGAGTGAAAAATCTCTAGAACGGAATTTGGCAAGTCAATTTTGACATTATCATTCTTTTAAGGCTTCATTACCATACATAACACGTAACTCCTTATGAGCTTCAGATGCTTTCATTTCTTTTCAGAAACAAAAAAGCAAAACATGACGAAAATGCTCATTTTTACACTCCATACTTAAACAATTACTGAACAAAAACTAAAAACTTCGATGTAATTTTTTTATTGAATGAAGACTAAAGTATCAGCTGTCAAACAAACATGTAACTTTGACACTTCGAAACGTCAAAGTACCAAAAACTTCAATCAACACATCTACCAGTAAAAACCGCAATTACTTTCTTGCTAATTCAATATCAATATATATCAATATACAATATACCAATATGTACCAAAAAGATGTGTATTAATTATAGAAAATATATTATCTAAAAAATAAGCGAAAATTAAAAATTGTATTGTTTGGATGATCAAAAAATATTTATACAATCGAGAAATTTAGCTTCTAAAATTTCAGAAATACGAAGCTCGTTTATTTATGTTAGAACAGAATATAAAATTCATTCAGTTCATTGTATAAAATTGCTAATTAATGTTTATTTTGTACAAATAAGATTTTTTTAATAAAATATGTTCTTGTACGAATATTTTTTCCTCTCACTGTATAAATAAACTTAATAAACTTCTGTCCTGCCACCGAATCCTGGCAGCTAGTTTCTTTGTGACGTGGAGAATGTCGAGTCGCCCAAAGGACAAATTCATTATTCTTAGCAAATATTAAGTAACCAATCAAAAATCATTACTCGCCTCAGTAGTATAATTCTTATCTTCCCTGTGCTTCAATACAAATATTTAGAAAATGTTTTAGGGTGCTATCCCATGAGAGTCGATAAGTAACGACCAATCATATTATGCGTTACATGAACGCGCTAAACATAATTATGCTGATTGATCGTGTTACTTTTTCGAGTTTCCATCTTTCGAAATTTCAATTATCTTAAGGAAGCATTCTTAGACTGGAATCAGATATGTATTGAAAATTAAGATTAAAAATTAAAATTTTATCAATGAGAACAAAGAAATTTTGGCTCCTTTTCTGATTGATCAAACTTCAATTTTTCAATCTCATTCTTCAATGTGTAGTCTGATTCCGGCCTTATGACCAATTTATTCATTTCTAGATAATTTTATCTATCGGCTATCTCCCAAATATTTCATGGGTAAATGAGATATCTGGGAGGTATCTCATGGATAAAGTTATCAGTAACTTATCTAGAAATGAAGAAATTAGTCATTGTTCTACCATTTGAATCTCCGGATACTAGTAAGTAGTTCGGAGTAGTTCGGACTGTTTGAAGCCAATCCCTTTTCCACTGAGGAAGAAATAGAAAAAAACAAAGGTCAGTATTAGAGTTTACAATCTTTTATCAATAGTACATTTTTCATCGAATATTTGTATAAATATAAAAATAAAAAAGAAAGTAATAAAATACAAAATAGAGAAAGCAGTGTCCGATTTCGTTCGAATAAACATGAAACATAGTAACGTGGAATAATCGAGATTGCGTCAAACAATCTTGTCCTACATTGTACCGTCAACGGTAAGAGAACATTCTGGAAAGGAAATACTCATCGAGTATATAAAAGAAAACAAAATTTATATGTTAAAAATAAAACAGTATTATATCGTGTTGCAGATAAAATTTTATTAAGATTTTGATAGTTCAGTTGTTGAAATTTGACAGTTATTTTTTCTATAAATTATATTAAATTTTATATTTTTTATTAAATAGATGTATTTTAGATTTAATATTTACTTAATCATATTAAAAATATATATATTAGGTGTACAATTTTGCTTCCGCCATTTTTTTTCCGAAATTCGAGGCTTTATTGTAAAAAACTGGTATACATTTATGATTCAAAGTATTGTCCATCGCTGGCCACTACTTTCTCTCATCTTTAGCATACGAATCCTGCGTCGAAAAAACTGGTCATCTTTTGAGGCTATCCACGAATCGATTCAATTTTTTACTTCTTCATAAGACCGGAAATGCTGGTCAGCCAGACCGTGCCATTGATCGAAACAAGTGATAGTCAGAGGGAGCAATGTCTGGAGAATACGGCGGGTGGGGTAGGACTTCTCATTTCAACGTTTTCAAATATATCTTGACCACTTTCGCAACATGAGGTCAAGCATTGTCATGCTGCAAAATCACTTTATCGTGTCTCTCGTTGTATTGCGGCCGTTTGTCTTTCAATGCTCGGCTCAAACGCATCAATTGCGTTCGATACCGATCGCCTGTGATTGTTTCAGTCGGTTTTAACAGTTCATAATACACTACGCCGAGCTGGTCCCACCAAATACAGAGCATGACCTTGGAACCGTGAATATTCGGTTTGGCCGTCGACGTGGAAGCATGGCCGGGAACTCCCCATGATTTTCTGCGCTTGGGATTATCGTAATGAACCCATTTTTCGTCCCCAGTCACAATGCGATGCAGAAATCCCTTCTGTCTTTGCCTTTCAAGCAGCTGTTCACAAGCAAACAAACGCCGTTCAACATCTCTCGGCTTCAATTCGTACGGCACCCAATTTCCTTGCTTCTGAATCATTCCCATGGCTTTGAGGCGTTTTGAAATGGCTTGTTGAGTCACTCCCAATGATCGTGCCAATTCTTCTTGATTTTGACACGAGTCTTGCTCAAGTAATGCCTCCAATTCTGCATCTTCGAAAACCTTCTCTCTTCCACCGCTACGCCGGTCTTCGACGTCAAAATCACCGTTCTTGAAGCGTTGAAACCACTCACGATACGTTCTTTCACTAATAGCGGCCTCACCATAAATATTTGAGAGCATTCGATGAGCCTCAGCCGCAGATTTCTTCATATTGAAGCAAAAAATTAAAATCTCCCGCAAATGACGAGAATTTGGCTCATAAACTGACATTTTCAATCGAGAATAACTTTATGATGCAGACACAAATCGACTAATGTTTCTATGGGGTTATGTTGACAGATACCCAAGTTTATTGTATGACGTCTATGATCTATTTATTTCGACCATCACTTACCGCTAAAGCCATCTATAGGAAAACGGCGGAAGCAAGTTGTACACCTAATATAATTGCAAACTTTTCTATGTGATGTAATGTGCTACTATCTTATATTTCTTAAACAAAATATTTTGTGTATTTTTCAGTTATAAAATGGCTAAATCAGAAATTAATTTGTTACAAGAGCTGTCGATTAAACGAGGATTTATGCCTATTTATAATTTTTCTGAAAAAAATATTAATTACAAGAAGCAATTTATATGTAATGTGGCTTGTGCGGAATTGACAACACATGGTACAGGGAGTACAAAAAAAGAAGCCAAGCATAATGCTGCAAGAAACATGCTGTCACTGTTGACAAATCATAAAATTTCGTTATCAGTAGTTACTCCACAAATAGTTACTTCACCAATAGTTACAAACATACTACAAAACCCTGAACAAATTTGCAACACATCTTCAAGTGTTCCATTTTCAAAAGACAACTCAAATAAACAGTTCACTGTTGAACATAATTACATTGGAATGTTGCAAGTAAGTTTCATAAGTTACCTGTCAAATATTATAATTCAAAGATTATCATCAGAATAATATAATTTTTATTCTATGTACAGGAGTTCTGCCAACAACGAAAAATACTAACGAAAGACATTCAGTATGATCTTATCTATGACGAAGGATTACCTCACATGAAAACATTTACTGTAAGAGTCAGCTTGGGATCACTATGTGAAAGAGGTACGGGACAGTGTAAGAAGTCTGCTAAACAAGAAGCTGCAAAAAAAATGCTACTACATCTGAATCCAAACATAATAGCTAATAAAAATGCAGACACACACATTAATGTATATGATAGGGAGACACTTGAGAATAATATACGAGAATTAGGTACAAAAATATCAGAATGCGTTAACATTAACAAAAATACTTTATCAGTGGAAAAGTTATCGGAAAATGCAAAGTCGATCTATCTGAAATGTACTAAAAGAACTAATGTAATCGGTCAAGAAATCAATCCCTTAACACTCAAGGACTTCCATATGTTATTTGAGAAGAATTACTCCAATAAAATTACGTACTGTATGAAACAAAAAATGCAGATTGTATTGGATAAATATCCCAGAGAAGATCCACATCTGATGCACGAGATTAGACAAGATATAAAACAAGTATTAAAAGTTAAGATACAACAAGTCACTGCATATAACAAATCACAGAATTATTTGATATGTTTGCGCTTGTTGTCCAATCCTTGTATTACACAATTCGGTATAGATGAGAATAGAATGGTAGCAGAGTATCGTGCCATGTGTAATCTCATGAGAGCTATTTTAATTTTTATTAATTAAATTTGAACGTTTGAATTTTCTAATTTTATATATATATATATTAATAAATTCATGAATTATCAAGATTATATAAACATATATAGAATGACAATTTGTTCATGATTGCAAATATTTTACAATTAAGGCTATATACATTTGGCAACACATGCATTTATATGATTTTGTTTACATCGAGCACTTAATACGCGTACTAACCAGTAATTTTCTATTAAATTATTTTAATTTCGGCGATGCGTGTAAATATATACACAATATTATTTAATTAATCATCTAGATACATATATCAGTTTAGTACACCATTCTTTAAATATATTACCGAAATTAAGATAATTTAATAGAAAGTTCTCAAACAAAACAAATCAGAAAAAAATATGAAAATAACATTAAAATGAATCACAAATGATTGAAAAATGACTTTTAATGATCATTTTAGTCATTTTGATATTATGACTTATTGCACTTTCGTGCAACTTGTTAATGTCGATATCAATATTCATTTCTGCAATATTATAACTTGTTGTTTTGCTTGGGTTATTAATTACTATGTGCATCAAGTGCTCGAAGTAAACTAGAACTCGGTGTAAACTATATATA